AAAGATAGTGTTTTTTGAAGACTAAAAAGTTTTTTTTATTACTAGAAATTCAATTTATAAATCAACATCGTTTTACAAGTTTTAATATTTTTGATTTTTAAAAATAACTGCCTTTAAATTTATATAAGAAAAAATTTACTTTATATGAATGTGCATTTAAATTTATTCCATAATATAAATACAATTTGTATACAGAAAACAGACACTTATATGTCTAGATTAGAGAAAAAAATAATAACCATAATTAATTTAAAATAATTAATTTCTCATGAAATTTCTTCTTAAGTATTAATTAAAATATATTTATAGAAATCCTAAGTGTACATCGAGTTGTTATTGCTATGCTCAGCTAAATTAATTGAAATAATGACGTAGTTAAAACTTTCATTAAATCTTTAAAAAAATGTTTTTTTTCTCTCATTTACAAAATAACAGGCCGAAAATTAATTTTTTTATATATTTTTAATCAAATTTATACACGCCATAAATTCTGTTACGTTGGCTATCCTTAAATATTGAAATTAATTTTAATATAGTATAAAAAAACTGGAAGTAATTGGAAAATTTAATAACTTTAGACATTCCTAAATTATTAAAGCATAAAAGTTTATGATAAACAGCTTTTCTGCAAAAAACTAATATCTCAAGAATAGTTTAAATAACATATATGCTTTTATTGATCCTACTTTTTGCATAAACTTTCAGAATAAATAAAAAGTTTTAGAATAATAATCAGAAAACAAGACGCATACGTTTAAAAAAATTTGGTTATGCTGAAATACATGAATTCCTAAAGTTGTTTACATATCTTGTTACTTGGGATTAAATAATTTTTTTTTTATTATTTGTTCGTTGTAAGAATTATTCTCTAAATCAAAAATGTTTATATTATTATTTTTAAGGTTTTCATTAAACAATCAAGATGATTTTTTCAGGTATGTTCTGTTTACAGAGAAACAAAAAGTAAAGGAAAATTACTTATTTATTTATATAAAAACGAATTAAAAATTTTTTAGTTTCATTTAATAAATATTATATATATTTTAGTAAATTTTTAACTCTGTGCTATTGAGAATAGTTATAAAACTTTTTTTTCCGGGATATGAGATTCTAGATATGTTGCAATTATTAAATTCATTGTATAAAAATGTGAAACTCATCACAGAAAAAGTCCAGCATAAATATTTTTGTCAAAGATTCTATTTTGACTTCAAATCGGAGGATTAATCAGTTTAATGCGAGACGTAAGTATCAAACATATAATAGTTTGATTGTTTAATAATAATTATAATGTTCATTTTGAATTATTTAAAATTTATCTAATATATAAAAATAAAATTTTATATTGATATACAAATTTATATATATATAAATTTAATAATAATAATTTTTAAAATATTTTATTATATATATTATATACATATTATAATAATTTATATGGGGCCTGATGACCGAGTGACTAGTGCTCTGGCGCTTGATGCCACAGGGTTCGTGTCCCGCCGGGGCCATGGATGCGTGTAGTGGTTCAGAATCTACTTTAAACCTTAGGTCTTGGTCTAATATGACTGTAGAGTGTAGGGTTGACAAACCTACCCCGTAAAAAGAAAACACCTCCTGTCTCGAAATCTGTCTGTAGGCAGACGCCTTGGCCCATCATGGAGTTGTTGCTCCAATGAAGAAGAAGAATTTATGTAACTTCATATATTTAAATAAAACCTTTAAATATAGATTAGAGTAAGTATTACGGAAGGAATTTAAAAGTTAAGCGAATAGTAATTTATTAGAAGGGATACCTAATATTGTATTATTTCTATGAGTTTTACTATATAAAATTGTAAGCAAAATTGTTTATTATAATAACAATTTAGTTGGAAATAACCTTGAAATATTTTGTCGAAGTTTTTCAATTGAAAAAGAACTTATTATTCATTACACTAGTATAAAAAGGTAACTACTTGAGAAATATTTAGTCAATTTCTCTATCCGGTACCAATTTAATCTTATAATAATATTAATTGAAGGAATATTTCTAGAGATGCTATTCATATAATGTCTCTTTAACCTAAACAATATTAGCCTTCTACTTGGTTTAAAATATACATATGTATACACGGAAAACGTGACGTATCGAAAAACGACAGTGTGCGTGACTTTTAACATGTCTGCACATGATTTGTCAAAAGACTGGAAAAATACAACTTTTCCCAACAAAAAAAATTCAAAAGTGTAGACAGCAAGCAGACAGCTTTTTAAATATTATTCTTATATAACAATATAAACAGCGATATTCATTTCTTCCCAATAGCACAAACAAATTAAGTAGGAATAAGTTTTATTAGTAGAAATTCAATAAGCCCTCATAATCGTATATATAGTGTTTCATTTCGTGTGCACATTTCTAAAAGTAATAGTTTACAAGACAAAATATTAAGAATATGTGAAATTAGTTTTTATAATTTATGCATAACAGTTTTGTTTAACAATGTTTTACAAAGTAAATAAGAAAAATGTATTATATTATTTAAATATTTCTCATATTTTGCCCTAATGTCAATAGTGGAAAAGAAACCCTCCTTTTTAGTTTTTGTGAAATGTGTATTTTTATAAATCGGAGAATAAGTATATATATTATCTGAAACACAGAATTTCGTGTAAAAAAATTGTGTATGTTTTCATGCATAACCATGCAAATCGAAATCGTGTATTTTTTTCACATAAAACATCTAAATCGAAATTGTGTAATTTTTATGTAAAACATGTACATCGAAATCGTTTATTTTTCACGAAAACTAAGTATATAGAAATCATGCATTTTCCTACAAAACCATGTAAATCGAGATCCTGCATTTTTTCCTTTAAAACCGTGTGAATGAAAATAATTTATTTTCCATATAAAACTGTGTAAATCGAAATTGTGTATTTTTCATATAAAACAGAATAAATCAAAAATTTTTTACGTTTCGTATAAAACCGTGTAAATCGAAATTGTATTTTTCATATAAAATCGTGTAAATCAAAATCATATGTTTTTACTGATACATATGACCCGAGTATACTTTATTTTTACAATGGAATAACAGAGTGTTCAGTTATTTTATACTTCTTAATTACATTGTAAATCGAAATCGTGTATATTTATATATTTTCAAATAAAACAGTGTAAATAGAAATCGAATAATTGCAATCGATAATCGAATAAATCGAATTATTGAAATTTTGCAATTGCAATATGCTATTTTTTCGAACATTACATATTAACTTCCTTTTAAAGAAGAACTATTCAAACGTAAAAATTTTTGCACTGCGTTCTTTTCTTTCTGGATATTTTTTCCGCGTAATAATATTAAATGAAATTCTCAGAATGTACTTTCGTCACTTTTAAAATATGATTTGTTTAAAACATCTCTTTCAAAGCTGTATCTCATTGCCTTAAAATGCACTGAACAATCAAATAATGTGAGCTTCCGGGACATAAAATATTTAAATACCTTCAAGGAAGGATTCGATTTTTTTGTACAAACTTCAACAATTCTCAAAAGCAGCAACAGGATTGAATAGCCAAGAATCCATCACATTTCCCAACAGAGTAGAAACATGGCGCTGATTTCGCACGAGTTCGATGTTTTACTTTAAAATTTAATTCCGAGTCAACGCTTAGACTTCAGAGAATCGAGACATTCAAAATTCCTGCAAAATATTATTCTTTTGGAATAAAAAGGAATTCAAACATAAATTGGATTTTTTTTTTTTTGCATTGACGTTTTTTTTCAAAGTTTATAATATTGTTTTCATTCTTGTATCCATCTGGAGATTTACCGATCCATAGAAATATTTAAAAATAATCTGAACTAGGTGAAAAAAGATACATAATCCAATAAAAATCGATTGCTTTTTCACGCAGTTGGTTACACATCAATTGAATTTAAATAAATTCAATAAAGGTGACAGAAAGCAAAGATCCAGATTTTATATTTCTGAGTCTTTTGTCAGAGTATCAGGCAACGGAACTGAAAGAAAAGATTAAATTTTTTTCTTTTTTTACCAGGAATAAAAGTATTTAGTTTCATTATGTCACCTTCACAAAGTCAATAATAAACAGGAACGTAAGCGTTTTAACAATACGATTGGTTTTATGTAATGCAAAGTAAAAGTTTTATTACACTTGAAATATCTCCATGGAATCATTTTCCCCATTTTTTTATAAATTCACAAATAGTTTCCTATTTTTCTAAGCTGTCTTTTAATGTTTATCACTAGATTTATAATTGTTTAAAGTAGTTTTCAATTTAATTCACAAACTCAAAAATTTATGAATCATTTTCATTATGTATAACTGTAATTGGACCTGATTTTATTCAGTAACTGATAATTACTGGCCTTTAAATGACTATGAATGGGCCTGTGCCCGAATGACTAGCGCTTTTGAGCTCGATGCCACAGGTTCGAGTATCAGCGGTGCCGTGGATGTTTGTAGTGGTTTGGAATCCACTCTGAACCTTAGGTCTTAGTCTAATATGACCGTAGAGTGTTGGTAGTTGAGTTGACAATACTCCCTCACGTAAGTGAGGGAGTGTTGTCAGCTCAACTATCAACACTTCAACAAAAAACAATTTATCAGGTTTCTGAATCTGCCAGAAGACAGAGCGCCTTGGCCCACCGTGGGCCTGTATCATCATTGAAGACGAAGATAACTGTAACTCTTACAAAACAACTTTTCTTTACAACGAAAGCATGTTGGCCGTTTTTTTGCATTGCAATGTTTGGTTATATTTACAGAGTAAATACCTTGGTCACCGTTGCATTACAAACTTTCATCTAGTTATAGTGTAATCTGTCGACATCTTTGCAGTGTAAACTTTGGCACTCTGGGCACTCTAAACATTGGCATATATACAATGTAACTTTTGGATTTCTTTACTGTGCAAAATTGTTTCCTGTTTGCATCGTAAACTTAGTCCTATTTGCATTTCATATATTTATATTACATCCTATTTGCCAACTGCCATACCATGCTGAATATACCGGTTCTCGTTAGATCACCGAAGTCAAGCATCATTGGGCGCGGTCAGTACTTGGGTGGGTGACTACATGGGAACACGCGTGCCGTTGGCATTCATAAATTTGGGACCTGAATGGCCGAGTGTCTGGCGCTCTGGCGCTCGGTGCCACAGGTTTCGGGTTCGAATCCCGGCGGTGCCATGGATGTTTGTAGTGGTTCGGAATCCACTTTAAGCCGTAGGTCCCGGTCTCCTATGACTGTAAGAGCGTCACGGAGCCAAAGTCAGACTTCTACCTACGGGTGCTTCATCACAACAGAAGCTGCTTCCTTCCCCTTCAATCATGAGTACGTATGGGCTCTCGTGGGCTTGGCCTGCCAAGTGGGATAAGAAACTACAACAACAACACATCCTATTTTATTTGCCTTTTTTAGAATGTACTTTCGTCACTTTTAATATATGATTTATTTCAAACAACTTCGCAAGAGATGTATCTTATTTCATTAAAATTCACAGAACAATCAAATAACGTGAAATTTCAACACATAAAATACTTACATATCTTCTGAAGGATTAAATTTTTTTTGTACAATCTTCAACAATTCTCAAAAGCAGCAACAGGATTGAATAGCCAAGAATCCATCACATTTCCCAACAGAGTAGAAACATGGCGCAGATTTTGCAGGATTCCGATATTTCACTTTAAAATTTAATTCAGATCAACGCTTAGACGCCAGAGAATCGAAACATTCAAAATCCTTGAAAAATATTATTCTTTTGAACTATAAAGGAATTGAAATATAAATTGGATTATTTTTTTTCCATTGACGTTTTTTCAGTGTTTATCATATTGTTTTCATTCTTGTATCTATATGGAGATTTACCGATTCTAAGAAATATTTAAAAAATAATTTGAACTAGGTGAAAAGAAAATGCATAATGCAATAAAAATCGATCGCTTTTTTTCTCGCAGTTGGTTACACATCAATTGAATTTAAATAAATGCAATAAACGTGACTGTATGCAAAGTTATAGATTTAATATTCCAGAATCTTTTGTCAGAGTATCGGGCAACGAAATGGAAAGAAAAGATTAAATTTTTTTTTTTTAACGGGAATAAAAGTATTTAGTTTCATAATGTCACCTTCACATAAAGTCAATAACAAACAGAAACCTGAGCGTTTTAACAATGCAATTGGTTTATGTATTGCAAAATGAAAGTTCTATTACATGTCATATGTCTTCATGGAATCATTTTTTCCTTATGCTTTATAAATTGTCAAACAGTTTTTTGTTTACTCTAAGCAGTTTTTTAATGTTTATCACTAGATTTATTAATATTTAAAATAGTTTTAAGTTTAATTCCCAAATTTGTAAATTTATGAATCATTTTCATTATGTATAACTTTAACTACTGCAACATTTATTCTTTAAACATTCAACATTCAACTAAAGCCTACTGTTATTTTGCATTGCGATCTTTGGTCCTATTTGCAATATAAACTTTTCCCTATTTGCACTGAATTAGACTAAACCAATTGGAAAAAGAATAATAACAACAACAAAAAAAACCCCTGGGTTTGATTTATCCCATAAGATTAAGAATAATAACAAGAAAATCTGGATTAAACTAATCCATTGGACTAAGAATAAAAACAAGAAAATCTGGATTAAACTAATCCATTGGACTAAGAATAAAAACAAGAAAATCTGGATTAAACTAATCCATTGGACTAAGAATAAAAACAAGAAAATCTGGATTAAACTAATCCATTGGATAATAAAAACAAGAAAATCTGGATTAAACTAATCCATTGGACTAAGAAAATCTGGATTAAACTAATCCAACTAATAAGAAAATCTGGATTAAACTAATCCATTGGACTAAGAATAATAAGAAAATCTGGATTAAACTAATCCATTGGACTAAGAATAATAAGAAAATCTGGATTAAACTAATCCATTAGACTAAGAATAATAACAAGAAAACTTGCATTAGACTATTCCAATAGACTCAGAGTAATTGCAACATACCTTGAATTAGACTAATCGCATTGGAGTAAGAATATAAAGTTGAAATAAGAATATAAAATTTTATATAAAGTTGTTATTATTTGTTATTAATCGTTTTGCAAAGTTTGTTAATATTGAATTTTTTTTTGTTTTTCTAGTTAAAATCTTATGTCTTTCTTTTATTCTTATTAAGCTTAATTAAAAATTAGATACATATCTCTTTCATAATTGATTTCGTATAAATCTTAAAAATCATCATGCATTTAGTTAGAATTATTTTAAATAAAATTAAAAAAAATAATGTAAAATAATTTAACAAACAGGATTGGGAAAATTTATTCAAAGTGAAATCGTTATGAGCATAGAAATTTTGAATTATTTCTGTAAAAAATAATAAAGTATTCGAAAAAATGTTTTTAATTTTTTCCCTGTATTTAAATATTTCAATATTTTAAAAATAATTTTTTATTGTAACTTTATTAGAAATTATTGCAATTACAAAATTGCAATAAGCTATTTTTTCGAAAACTACATAATAACTTGCTTTTAAATAAGTATTATTCAAACCAACACATATTTGGACTGTGTTATTTGGGATATTTTTCCGCATAGCAATATTCAATGCAATTTTTAGAATGTACTTTCGACGCTTTTAAAACCTGATTATTTCAAACAGTTTCAAACGAGCTGTGTGCCATTGCCTTAAAATGCACTGAACAATAAAAAAAAGTGAAATTCCGGCACCATAAAATATTTAAATATCTTCAAGAAAGGATTAGATTTTTTTTTGTACAAACTTCAGCAATTCTTAGAAGCAGCAACAGGATTGAATAGCCGAAAATCCATCACATTTCCCCACAGGGTAGAAACATGGCGCATATTTTGCACTTTAAAATTTAATTCAGAGTCAACGCTTAGACTTCAGAGAATCGAAACATTCAAAATTCTTGAAAAATATTATTCTTTTGAACTAAAAAGGAATTCAAACATAAATTGGATTATATTTTTTTTGTATTGACATTTTTTCAAAGTTTATAATATTGTTTTCATTCTTGTATCCATCTACAGATTTACCGATCCATAAGAAATATTTTAAAAATAATTTGAGCTAGGTGAAAAAAAATAAATACATTATCCAATAAAAATCGATTGTGTTTTTCTCGCAGTTGGTTACACATCAATTGAATTTAAATAAATGCAAAGATCCAGATTTAATATTCCCGAATCTTTTTTCAGAGTATCAGGCAGCGGAATTGAAAGAAAATGTTAAATTTCTTTCTTTTTTTTACCAGGGGAAAAAAGTATTTAGTTTTGTTATGTCACCTTCACTTAAAGTCAATAACAAACAGGAACGTAAGCGTTTCAACAATGCAATTGGGTTTATGTAATGCAAAGTAAAAGTTCTATTACACTTGAAAAATCTCCATGAAATCATTTTTTTATTAATTCTCAAATAGTTTTCTATTTTTCTAAGCTGTCTTTTAATATTTATCACTAGATTTATAATTGTTTAAAGTAGCTTTAAATTTAATTCACAAACTCGAAAATTTATGAATCATTTTCTTTATGTACAACTGTAATTGGACCTGATATTTTTCTGTAACTGATATTACTGGCCTTTAACTGACTAGGAATGGACCTGTGCCCGAATGAATATCGCTTTTGCGCTCGGTGCCACAGGTTTCGGGCCCGAGTACCAGCGGTGCCATGGATGTTTGTAGTGGTTTGGAATCCACTTTGAACATTAAGTCTTAATCTAATATGACTGTTTATTGAATCATTTGTCTGAATCTACCAGAAGACAGAGTGCCTTGGTCTACCGTGGGTTTGTATTGTCAATGAAGAAGAAGAAGATAAATGTACAAAACTTACAAAACTACTTATCTTTACAACGAAAGCCTGTTGGCCGTTTTGTGCATTGCAATCTTTGGTTGTATTTGCAGAGTAAATACTTTGGTCACCGTTGCACTACAAACTTTGATCTAGTTATAGTGTAATCTTTCGACATCATTGCAGTGTAAACTTTGGTACTCTGGGCACTCTAAACATTGGCATATATACAGTGCAAACTTTGGTCCTCTTTGCACTGTAAACATTGGCATATATACAGTGTAATCTTTGGATTTCTGTACAGTGCAAAATTTGCTCCTCTTTGCATCGTAAACCTAGCCCTATTTGCATTTCATTTATTTATATTGCATCCTATTTTATTTGTCATTTTTAGAATGTACTTTCGTCACTTTTAATATATGATTTATTTCAAACCGGTTTGAAAGACATGCATCTTATTGCCTTAAAATTGCCTGAACAATCAAATATTTAAATATCTTCTGAAGGATTAAATTTTTTTTTTACGAACTTCAACAATTCTCAAAAGCAGCAACAGGATTGAATAGCCAAGAATCCATCACATTTCCCCACAGAGTAGAAACATGGCGCAGATTTTGCACCATTTCGATGTTTTACTTTAAAATTTAATTCAGAGTCAACGCTTAGATACCAGAGAATCGAAACTTTCAAAATCCTTGAAAAATAGTATTCTTTTCAACTAAAAAGGGATTCAGACATAAATTGGATTATTATTTTTTTTTTTTTGCATTGACGGTTTTTTCAAAGTTTGTAATATTGTTTTCATTCTTGTACCCATCTGCAGATTTACCGATCCATAAGAAATATTTAAAAAATAATTTGAACTAGGTGAAAAGAAAATATAATCCAATAAAAATCGATTGCCTTTTCTTGCAGTTGGTTACACATCAATTGAGTTTAAATAAATGCAAAAAAACGTGACAGAAAGCAAAGATCCAGATTTAATATTGCTGAATCTTTTGTCAAAGTATCAGGCAGCGGAATTGAAAGAAAAGATTAAATTTCTTTTTTTTACCAGGAAAAAATACATTTAGTTTCATAATGTCACCTTCACATAAAGTCAATAATAATCAGGAATCTAAGCGTTTTAACTATACAATTGGGTTTATGTAATGCAAAGTGAAAGTTCTATTAAATTTGAAAAATCTCCATATCATTTTCCCCATTTTTTTTATAAATTCTCCAATAGTTTCCTATTTTTTTCTTAATATTTCCAACGCTTATTATAG